ATTAGAGATGTATATACCCAGCAATGTAAAAAGGAAGGGACAAAACTTACTTCTGATTCTCCAGGAAAAGTAGCTTTGATCTTCAAGCTCAAAGTGTCAAAATCATCGTTCCTGAAACTAGTAAACAAAAAATATTAAGTTAATAATATTAACTCTTGAAAGGGTAACCAACTCAAGTAAAGATATTGATTGCACGTTACCTTACTCTTCTTTAACTGAGCGAGCAGCGGGAACAACAATAGCAGCTAGGAGGGCATCTTGATGTTTCTTTGTGAACATCTTGAACTTGTGAAAATATTGACCAATTGATGGGCCTTTTTCCTTATCCTCAACCAGAACAGAATTAATGTCTTAAAGCAATAAACATATTATATGTAAGTAGTGAAAGACCGTATCAGTACATTTGATAAAATAAACATGATTGTCAATCAAAATACATACTAGATTTTGAATAGCTCTGCAGCCTATTTTTGAAGTACCTTTTGATTTCTTTGCAGCATGTAACAATACAGAAAATCCAAATTAAGAAAAAGATGAGAAAATAATATGAAGAGAATATAATTTTATACTCACTGTTCATCCTCAAAGCTGCCAGAAAGACGTTTGGAGTTTGAAGCCACGGCTGGGGCAGCAAGTGAGGATCGTCCGGCAATGCCAGGGTCCACTTCAAAAGTGACAGATTCAGAGGAGCCGCAAACAGCCCAAACAATCTGGAATATGAAGTTGATTTCATTAGAAGTTTGCACTTTAGGTTATTAAGAAAGAAACAAAGCAAAACAAACATACAGGACTGACTGGCTGCTCCAATGTGCTTCTGTACTCCTTTAATTTACTGAAAAATTTGAGCTCGAGCCCTAGCTCATCTTCTTGAAATATTCTTTTGCTGTGCTCCGGCTTAATCAGCAGCAGCGCTTCGGTGTCGAATACACCACAGCCTACAAAATGATTGCAACACACAATTACTTGAAAACTAAAGACAGCATGATCGATTTGTAGGTTAGATGGGTGCCGCCAAATAGGCCTTGGTAACTAACTACTACAATTCAGCGGTACGACATTCAGGCGTTTGAGTGTACATGGATACGAAACATTAGCGCGAATGACGAAAAGAATAGCTAGATGTAAACCTAACCTCTCATAGGTTCACCAGCAAGTACTAGTTTATAGCCGTTATGTTAGATGACAGCGGAAACTCAACTCACCAGCTAGTCGAGGCAGCAACACCTCCAAGTCCCAGACGCGTAGCAGATCTTCCATTAGCAAAAATTAGCACGTAGAACTCAAGACAACAAGCACCAGCACCAGGCACTGCAGTGGATCGACGAGACGAGAGAGGTTGGAAGAGAACCGGTGGGCGGCTTTTAACTCAGACCCCGCGCCTTTGAATAACGCGTCTGGTCCAGTATTTGCACGACGCGCCAAATTCATACTCTCCGCGAAAGGAACCGCGTAAAACATGCAAGAATGACAAAATCCTTTCCGACACTTTAATGTAGCATCATCGCTGTACTCCCTATTGATTAGTTCCGTTACCCTACTTTGATCGTTACAAATGAAATTTTATTGATAAAGACCAAATTTAGTCATTTCAACACAATGCTTATCTAGGCGCCTATTAACCAAATCTTAGTTTGACATGTTAACCTGAGTTTCCTGCGGATTTAAAATTTAGTCAGAACGACTAAATTAGTGTTCATCTCGAAGGAACCAAACATTTTAGTCCTCTCGACTAAATGGTTTTCTGGGTGTTGTTTCGCACCTCGGACCTCTGGGCTCGGATCCTGACGCCTTAGACCGCGCGGCTGTTGGGACATACCTGTGGTGGGAACGCTTGCACCCAACCTTATGCGGCGCTCCGTCCAGGGACATTCCCAGAGTAGCTATGTGCTTGATCGGACGGCGTATGTTTGTTAACTTGCTTTTTCAGCCCGCCCTTCTGCTTTTAAAAACGCATAAAGCGGGCTTATGCAACCGCTCTCGCGTCCGTCCGTCCGTCCGTCTGTCTGTCGTCCGTGTAAGAGGAAGGAGATGGGCTAGAGGTCTACAAATTTCAGGGTATCTTAGGGGTCACTCCTGGACAACGAAACGCCTGGTGCAAATCCTGGCAACCACCCCTAAGGGGGTGAAAGGGGGTAACAAAGAAATAGGGGTTGGTCCAAAAAGTAGAAAACCATTTTTTTTTGATGGTTTCCTAAGGGGTAACTCGTGAAAGTAGAGCCCTTTGGGCTAAAATTTCGTCCGTTTGCCTCTATCGTGCACCGTTTGGGCACTAGAGTTGTTTTTTCGACGAAAATACGGTGAAAATGACCACGTTGCACATGAAGACGTATAAGGAGGCGTCCAACCGTAAAAAGTCAGAGGAAGCACCCCCCCAAAACAGCATATTCTGAGTCTGATGGTACCCTCCGATTTACCGTATCTTTAACCGTTTAGGAGCCAGAGGTAGATATATTGAAAACATTTGCAAAAAGTCAAGTTTTAAGACTGTTTGACAAACAATATACAATCTACAATATACAATCTGTGCGTGTTCTTTTGTTTTAATACTTAAGCAAAGCAGAAGGGTGGGGTGTAGTCACGGTGTAGCCCCGTTACAGTCTTTTGTCATGTCCAAGGAGCAAATTTCTAGGGCCGCAGGCCCCCCACCGGACGCATTAGTTTACTCAAATATACAAAGTGATTTACGGGTCACATTATTTATTTGATTATGCACTTCGGTAAATCGCGAGACTGAAATGGTCGGGCCGAAGGCCCGACCATCGCCGCCGGCAGGCCAAGCAGGCCCGGCCCCTGCCGAACGGAGTTGCCGGCGCAGCGAAGTGGAGCTGTATTTACGAAACATTTCGTAAAGTCACACACATATTTCATAACAAATGCAAATAATTTTGGGGTCATATGTCATAAAATTTGCCAAATATATGCAAATTTCATACCCCTTAGAGCTTTGGATTTTACGTAGCAATTCGTAACGATGTATCGTAATTGGTTACAAACGAAGTTTTCGTACTAGAAAATTAACTAAGAAAATTGCGTATAATCACGAAATTTATTCTTACAGTGACAGAGAAGTCGTTTCATACCGATTTAGGTCGGTATGCATCGTAACAGGTCGCTACATCCGCTTCTAGTCCAACTTTGGTGAAGTTCGCGATAAATCCGGACCCCTGGAGGGTAGGCAACGCACCCAAAGGCATGGTCTTGCGGTCTGGAAATATAGACTAGTACAAGAGCAATTAATTTAAGCGGATAGGGTCGGCTTGAGCTTGCTCAATTCCCAGGTACAGACTGAAAAGGATAAAAATTGCAACTTTTTCGTTACCAGCAGACAGTCACGGACGGATAAAATCTGAACCACACCACCAACAGCTCGCGTAGACACATATTCTTTTTCAGCACAAAAAGACGATAACGGAGACACCCTTGCCATTAAAATCGGCGCAAAACTTCATATGTTTATATTGCGCGAAATGCACTTAAGCCCTGCTTCAAACTTCAAGAGTCTTGCGGAGGTACTTAAAATTGTTTCTCAGCGAAAAGAAAAAATATGTGTTCATTCATTCTTCACCCTCTACTCGATTCTGACCTGTGGTGCCCTCTACGGAAACTTTGAAAAAAAATTGGGCCACCCTAGCGCACTGCACTGTTGCCACATCGGCAGTCGGCAAGATGGTTGACAGAGTGCACTGGCTTGCAGAATACTGCATGGCAGGCTAAGACGGCTGCGGCCAGCATGCCGTAGCGGAAAGGGTAGAGAAAGGGGTAAGGAGCTGTTGCATAAACTTGGCTAAGGGTAGGTCCGAGCGATTTTTTCACCGAAATAGACCCCCCCCCCCCACCAAGTCGCCCCTTGCGAACTTACTATCCACAAGGTTGTGCCACGCACCGTTTAGGCTGTAGGGCATTTGTGCCGAAAATATCCGAGATGGCGGATGACAGTTTTTGGCTGGTCTCAGTTTCTTTCTATTTTTTTTGATATCTGAGTGAAGTTTTTGGGTGGGGATTTCACCGGAATAATTGCTCGACACCTCTAGTGCATATCCAGTACTGTTGTGTACGCTTTGTTAGCGTTGGTATAGCACCAAAGTAGCAGCCAAATAACATGTGTTTAAATATCGCGCCATGCCGGGCGATGGTGTCGATAACTCCTTTTATATTCAGGCATACAAATTGTTTTAGTTTTCTTTTTACAAAAGTGACTGTTAAATCAATATTCCGACCCCCCCTTAGTACAAGCAAGAGGACACATCTATTCAAATTTAGTTTCAGTATAAATCGAATTCGAAATGGCAGCGTTATTGACCTCATCGCCCGGTTTGGCGCGATATTTAAACAC